CTCCTGTACAGAGGCCTGAGCGCGCTGGCCGCCGCCGACGTCCGCGTGCTGCGCGTCTCGCCCCACTGTCTGTATCTAACTGTAGGTATCTCCTGTACAGAGGCCTGAGCGCGCTGGCCGCCGCCGATGTCCGCGTGCTGCGCGTCTCGCCCCACTCGGACGGAGAGCTGGTGGACGACTCTCACTCCGACGTCTGGCTGTACGCGCTCGAGCCGGCCACCAGCACACTGCTGAGCGCACAGCAACTCATGGCGTGAGTACTGTACCTACTGCTGCTGACAGTACACTGACACTACTGACAGTATACACTGCTGACGGTATACTGCTGACAGTACACTGCTGGAGCGAGCCACGAGTACACTACTGAGTGTCCAGCGACTGATGGCGTGAGTACTGTACTGCTGCTGACAGTATACTGGCACTGCTGACACTATACTGCTGACAGTACACTGCTGCCGGTACACTGCTGACAATACACTGCTGACGATACACTGCTGACAATACACTGCTGACAACACTGCTGACAATTCACTGCTGATAATTCACTGCTGACAATACACTGCTGACAATACACTGCTGACAATACACTGCTGACAGAACACTGCTGGGCGCCCAGCAACTGATATCGCGAGTTAACACTGGTCAGTGGTCACGGCTGATTTTTATTACAGTGCTGAGCTTCAGAATCGTTCCCCGTCGCCCCCGTCTGTCGCCCCCGTCCCCCACTGACCCCGCCCCCGCCGGTTGCAGCCGCCTGGAGAGCGCCGCGCCGGGGCTGTCGGGCGGCCCCCAGCCGGGGGTGCACGTGGCAGGGATGTGGCCCGCCACCGAACCGCCGCGAGGCTTCTTCACCAGCCTCAAGTTCATCATCGTGGGCCTGTCGCTGGCTATCTTCCTGCTGATGGTGGCTACTCTGGCGGTGCTCTGCTCCAAGAGCTGCAAACGGTCAGTGGTGCACAGTTACACATAGTGGGTGTGTGGAGATATCGCACTGGCAGTGCCCTGCTGCAGGGGCTGCCAGCGGTCAGTGGTGCCGATAAGTTTCATGTGCTGCAATATCGTGTGCTGGCGTACTTAGGATCTGTTCACTGATGCCGTGCTCGTGATGCCATGCGTTCAGCTTCATCGAATAAGCCTGCTTGTCATTAATGCATATTAAACACGCATTGTCTCTCGCGCCCTTTGTCACCCGTTGCCGCGTCTCTGAAGGACTCGCGGTCACTCTCGGTCCCGTTTCTGTCGGTTTCTCTGTCTCTGACGGTCCATGTGATCCGTGTCCGCTCCAGGGACCGCAAGACGTCGCCGTACCCGCCGCTGACGCTGACGCCGGCCGCCAGCGGCTACAGCGGCACCCCGCCGCCCAGTGACGTCACTCAGATGACGTCACACCAGCCGAGGGAGATGGTCGAGCGGCGCCGCAGTCCGCCGGCCGAGCGGGCGCCCGGAGCCCCCCTGGGTCTGGTCCTGGAGCCGCCCCTGTACAGGTCAGTGACAGGTCACAGCAGACAGACCCCCTGGGACTGGTCCTGGAGCCGTCCCTGTGCACTGTGCAGTCAGTGACAGGTCACAGGTCACAGACAGACCCCCTGGGTCTGGTCCTGGAGCCGCCCCTGTACAGGTCAGTGACAGGTCACAGGTCACAGATAGACCCCCTGGGTCGGGTCCTGGAGCCGCCCCTGTACAGGTCAGTCACAGGTCACAGTAGACAGACCCCTTGGGACTGGTGCTGGAGCCGCCTCTGTACAGGTCATTGCAATCGAAGTGCCAAAGTCTTCTTCTGATGCATAATTGCGGTGGTGCAACGGAAAGAGCCTAGGTATGAGGTAAAACGATTAATAAACTGAAACGAAGAAAATGTTGTAAAAGAGAGCATCTGCCGACTGATGCATCATTTCATTCGAAGAAATCGACCCTCGTAAGTCGTAACTCGATGTAAACTACCTGTGGCCACCACGTTTAGGTTTCTGACGTGGCCCCGTCGCCCGTTTTCAGCAAGCCGTCGCGCCGGCTGGCCGCCACCCAGGTCTCGCCGGGCCACTATGTGGCCGACCCCAAGCAGATGTCGCAGACCGTGGCGCGCCGGCGCCGTGACCCCGGCCAGGGTCAAGGTCAGGGCGTCTCGCACGTGCGCTACGGCAGCCTCAACTACCCGCGCGCCGGCCGGGCGGCCAATCAGCTGGCGGCCCTGCTGACGCCCGAGCGGCCATTGGCCGGCGCCAACGTGCGCCGCCAGTCGGTGACCAATAGCATGGGCGACGGCACCGAGGTGGGCGTGGCCACGATGAGCTTCTACAGCGAGTCGCCGTCCGACATGCCGCCCGTCGACTTCGGCCCCGGGTGAGAGCGGCGGGGCGGGACAGAGGGGAGGGAGTAGGTGAGGGCGGCGGAGCGGGACGGATGGGAGGAAGTGGGACATTCATGGGACAAGAGCGAGGCACGGCCTATCTGGCTCCATGGGACTAATTTTCTGGGCCTATTTTCCGGTGTGTTTCGGGAAGCTGGAGTCTATTTCCGAGCTATCCTATGTCGTCGAACCAGATTTCGTCAAATAAGTCCTCCCAGGCTCTCGAACTAAACAATGTGCAAGTAACCATCCCCCTATAGACTTTGGAGTTTGGGGTCAGTCTATGAGTATTTGATGCGGCGCGGCTAAATAGCAGTGCCCCCTGTGACCCGTTTCTATGCGTCAGGTTCCGGCTGCGGGTGGACCCCTCTGTGACGTCACCGCCGCGACCCGGCGACGAGCGGCGCTTCGCCGACCCGTCGGCCGCGCACCCAGAGACATCTACCGGCCACCTGCGAACTAACAGTTCGGACGCCCGCGGAGAGGAGTTTCTGGACTCTCTGGAGCCGGGGCAGTTCCCGCGCACCTGGTCCGTCAAACAGTGACCGAAACAGGGACCGAACAGGGACCGAACAGTGACGGAAACAGTGAGCGAAACAATGACGGAAACAGTGACGAAAACAGTAACCGAAATAGTGGCCGAAACAGAGTGACCGATGCGGGGGCCGAAACGGACCGAACAGTGAGCGAGACAGAAGGGAGTGCTGGGACACGGACAGTGCCAGTGATATGCGGTCAAACTGCAGTGAACCTGTGACCGGCCGTCTGTTCCAGCGAGCTATGCCTGCGTGTCGGTGTGAGAGAACCTTTATTGTGTGGTAGAGATGTAACATTTGTAAAAAAAAAACGTGCACAAAGCTACCCCACGCCGAACCAAAGTGCTCACAAAGCGAAGGATGCATAACACAGCGATGTAAAGACGGTAACTGTGACGCCGTGGGCAAATACTGGTGCGACGTCCAATGCTTGGACATCGAGATGAGCGGGCACAAAGTCATGTGTAAATAAATAAAGTGTTTTACTTGCAAACTGATGATATCGTTTCGTCTGTTACATCAAGCGCAAATGAAGCCTGGATGACAGTTCAATAACACCAGGCACCGGCTGAAGACGAAAAACATTTATAGTTTTCAACACTCATTAGCAGACAGTAGTGTTTCCATAAGCCAAGGCCCAAGCGATACCATTGGTACGCGATCGACTGATCCGTTTACATCAACTGAAACGAGTGGCTTTGGATGAGCAGAATAGGTTGGTGGGGGCGTTGCCGTGTGGCGTGATTCTCACTTCTCTGAGTCACGGCTCGGTCTAGAATTAGATCGATGTTCGTGCGGTCAATCACCCACTACAGGCGTAAATACAGCCGCCGACTCTCGGCGCTACTGGGTGGGTAGACTGCGCCGCAATACACCGGGTGGCGGCGGCACAGCCTACCTACCGCCATCGCGCCGGATCTGAGCGTAACTGACGCCTCAGCCTGTATCGCACCGGCACAGACATTGCTTTGGGAAAACATTCGCTCGGACCAGACATGACAGTTAACGAGAGTCGAGAGACATCTAACCACACACTTAAATAGATGAAGGAAGTTGAGGGAACGAAACCCATTTTAGCTCTGGTCGCATAGGCGCGGGAACCGGGGGGGGGGGGGGGGGGGTAGTGGGGCAGCTTGCCTGATGCCTCCCCCACTCTGGGGCCGTGGGAGCGGTGCCCCTACACCGACTTTGAGACGGAATACCGCACTTTTTTGCTTTTTTTCTGAAAAGGCCAAGGGATGAAAAATAAGTGGCCGCGGCGAGAAAACTAGATTTGGGGGTAGGTACCCTATGTTGATCTTTATTATGGTGTGCCCCCCCCCCCCAGTCTGAAAGTAGTTCCCGTGCCCCTGTCTGGTCGTGAGGTTCACGTTTTGCTCGAGATCAGCTGCTCAGTGAAATGGTGTCGCTGTAGACGAGGTCGAGTGTGCAAGACGAGAGGTCAGGTTCCCTCAACGGTCTGAATCGGGACACGGAACCCAAACTCTGACCCCCACGACCCTCGTCGTCCTTGCATAAAATAAATATCACATTTTCCTGAATGTATTAAAAGCGTTCGGAACACATCAAGTCACGTTTGTCCGATGAAGTCAAAACCGCATGACAAGCGTCGAAAGATACTGGCGGAAAAAGACAGGATAGACAACACACCCATACCAAAATAAGCAGATCCCAGTCTCTAAAACCTAATAAAAGGCCTAATATGATCCTAATATGATCCACACATTACCAACAAACCAGTTATTATTCTAGATAAAATGGAAGCTCCACGATAAATAAAACATTCACCCGGAGGGTGAACTATGAAGGGAAAATAATGGACACCGGATGCGGACGGTTCAGAGGAGCAGCTGATAGACAACTCACGTGGCGAACACTGAACCATCCGTCTCGCAAAGGAACGCGCCGCTCCACTATCTTCTGCGCTTATCTGAGGCAGACAGCGCCAAGAACACGAGCGGGGGCGAGTTGAGCCGCACAAAGTACCGGGCTGAGCGCAGAGTCAGCCGACCCGTGCAGGTCAATCGCGGTATTCGAATACGTTCCTAGTGGGCCCGCCACTGACTCCTGGGCAGCTTCCGTCGGGGGGAGCCGCCGCGTGCCAGCCCCTGTGAGAGGCCCTAGAAGCCGGGCGGGTAGTGGCGCCGCTCACCGCCGGGAGGAGGCGGCTGGTCAGGCAGCCCGGGCTCCGGCTGCTCCGGACTGCGGGCTCTCAGAACTGGGCGGCCCAGGAAGCGCTGCCGGAGCTGCTGCTGCTGCTGCTGGAAGGCCGCCTGGTCAGCCGCCGGCTGTCGGGGGTCCGGAGAATGTCGCCATGGCTGCTGGAACTCGGCATGCAGAGGCTGCTGGAACTCTGGCTGCAGAGGCTGCTGGAACTCGGGACGCGGCGCCTGCTGGAACTCCGGCTGTGGTAGCTGCTGCGGCGGCGGTATCCTCCACAGCTCCACGCCGCCCCAGGCGCCCTCCGGCAGCTGCTGCTGCTGGTATGGCTGCTGGTGGTGGTGCGGCGGCGGCAGGCGGTTGGCCGCCAGCTGCAGCGCACCCTGACGCAGCGCCTCCTCCCGCCACAGCTCCTCCCGGCGCCTCTGTTCGCTGAGGAGCACTGCGCGCTGCCGCCTTCGCTCCACCTCCCGCTCCATGGCCTCCGGGCCGACGGGCCGAAAGTCGGGCCCCTGCTGAAAGACCAACTGCTGCTGCTGCTCTTGTAAGCGCTGCTGCTCTTGGAAACGCCGCTGCTCTTGGAAGACGTGCTGTTGCTCCAGAGCCTGCATCTGCTGTAAGTGAATCTGCTGCTCCCGCTGTATCTGTGCCTGGGCCTGCTGATTTGGGAGCTGCAGCTCGCGGTGTAGCTGCTCGTTCAGCTGCAGCTGTCTGCGCAGCAGCTGCTGCTCCTCCTGCAGCTGCCGCCGGCGCTGCTCCTCGTAGAGCAGCTGCTCGCTGCGCCGCTCCTCCGGCTGCGACCCGCGCCGCAGCGCGTACGCGGCCAGGTCGTGCTGCATGCTGTTCAGCTGGTGCTTCTGGTTCTCCTCGGTCAGTGACCGCAGCTGCCCCGCCGGCCTCTGCTCCTCGAACGACCACGGCTCGGCCGCGGCCGGCGGCGGGTCCGGGCGCCGCGCGGGCCGCTGGATGGGCGCCGGCAGTGCGGGCCGGCCCGGCAGCGGCCACGGGTCCTCCTGCCTGGGCTCCTCGCGGTCGCCGCCCCAGGGCCAGGGCGTGCCGGTCTGCCCGGCCGACCTCTGACCCACGGCGCCGAACGGCGAGGGTTCGCTGCGCACCGGCGGCTGCTCGGCCGCCGGCGGGCCGCGGCCCAGGTCCAGCAGGCCCAGGTCCACCACAAAGGCCGCACGTTTGGGCGGCGACGGAGACGACTCCCTGACCTCGGTGGCCGGGTCGGGCGAGGGCAACTCGGTCGGCTGTCGCAGGCCGGCGCTCAGCGTCCGTTTGGGCGGGCGGCTCCTGTGCTCGGTCTGTGCGGCCGGCGACCGCTCGTAGATCCACTCGTACAGCGAGACTGGGCTGGTCGGGGAGGGTGTCCGCTCCTCCCGGCGGTCCAGACTCGCCGCGCGCGCCGGCTATTCAGCTGCCCCTCTGGGTCCGTCCTGCAGCCGGGAGAGGAAGACCGTGATTTAGACACTTAGATAAACATTTAGACCGTTAGTAATTAACGCGAATAAGTTTTCTGCAATAAAAAACGAGAACGTTAAGCCCATCCTTATTCAGCCCAGGCAACCAAAATGTCTGAGAGCTCCCAAGTCTAGAAATGTCCCCGCAGAAATGTCTGAGAGCCTAAGGTCAAAACGATATTACCGAGCTAGTTTTGAACATTATTTAATGCTAGGTATGCTCTTTTTCTGTTATCGCAAGTGGGCTAATTCCATGAAGAAAAAGTAAGTGGCATTCTACGCTAAAAGACATCGTAAGTAACGGCAATTTGCGCTGCACCTTCACTGAAGTCGTCCTTGTAGCCTCAACTTACCCTGTGAGTGTCTTCACGGGTGGGGCTCCCGCTGTCTGTCCCCAGAACTGCTTCCATCGATCCCTCCCCCATCATCTTCCGCTTCACCTCCTGAGCGCGCTTCCACGACATGGCCAGGAAGCGGTACTGCGCGAACAGGAAGGCGCCCTTGGCTCCCTCCACCTCCTCGTCTTTGAGCTTCTCGTAGTCGTGTTTGATGACCTTCAGCAGACCGTGGTACCTGGAGCAGGCGGGCGCGGTACTGAACAGAGTGGCACTTTGACGACGACAAACGTCTACAAAGTACGACTAAATGAGCGATAAACACTTATCCGACAACGTGACATCACAATGAAATCAAACTAAAAACGGACTATAATTCCTGACGGTTTCAGCTTGGAGTAGCTTTCCTTTCACTACCATGAAAAATGGCTTCGACTGAGCAGTAAGGCACCTAATGCAAACAGTTGAGACAGTGTTCTTCTCTGCCGCCCGTCACCAATCACTCATTGATAGATTGAGTTGTGACTTAAGGGCGCCCGGACTTCAGATGTCATCGGCGCCCATAACGTCGGCAATTAAAGCGTACGGATAGTGTGAAATATGTTGCGACCAACTCACTCATCGAGCCACCGTTGATCGGCCAGCAGCTCCTGCGGCCAGTGGTGGTAGCGCGCCATGGCGCCCGGATCGGTGCCGCTGAAGCCCGGGTAGCAGGGCAGCGGCTCGCCCCGGCGGCCCACGCCGGCCGGCGCGCCGTCAAAGAACAGCGCCAGCTCGGCTGGCTCGACGGACGGCGGCGGCCAGACCGGCTCCCGGCCGGCGGGTGGAGCCGCCGCCGCCGACACCGTCACCGGCTCAGTCACCGGCTCCGCGGCCGGCTCCGGAGTCGGCTCCCGAGCCCCGTCCCCGCCAGCGCCGGCTGCCGCTGGGACCCTCTCTTCCTCAGCGCGGATCGCTGCCACCTCTTTGACTCCACGCACAGAAGGAGCGCTTGACGCTGATGCAGGGGGTCCTGAAACATGGAAATGCTTCTTCAGCGGAATCGACCTTTTTTAGCATACCTAAATGAGAACAGAAAAACTATAAAACGTTAATCATACGCAAGATGCAAGTGCGTTCAACAATCGAATAAATGTTAAATAAGCGATCTCACTGTCGTGAAACAAAATACCGAAATTTCACATATTTAGATAACTAATGCTTGATAAAAGTTTAAACAAGCAACATAAGAATGTAACCAAAACTGTCCAAAATAATTATATGTCACGTAGTTCGAGACCAGAATGTAAGCAAGGGTAAATTGTTATCATCGCATGTCGCTGTCACAAGTTCGCGCACATGTACGGGAGCCACAGTATGAAAACTTACCAGTTGGCGATGCGACAACCTCCGGCACTGCGGGCCGGTCAGCCTGACAAACAATCATTAAAGTCAAAACATAGTCTGCGTCGTCAAAACATGTCAAAGAAATCAAAGCGTCAAAGTCATTAACGACGTTTCGCGCCTACAATTAGTTCAGTAAAAAAAAGTACAAACACTACCGGAACTATGAAATCAGAATGACATTTTTGTTTGGTCATCAATTTAGTTTAATGTCTCTGTCATTCTTAGGCACGAGGACCTACCTTTGCCGCGTCCTTCCTGGGTTCGGTAGGCCCTCCCTCCGCGCTGTCCGCTGCTGGGCCGCCCGCTGCTGCGGTGTCCGCCGCTGGGGTGTCCGCTGCTGCGGTGTCCGCCGCTGGGGTGTCCGGCGCTGTCTCGTCTGCGGTCGGCGGCTCGGCGGAGGCGCCGGCCGGCCGGGCGGCTGACGCCGAGTGGCCGGGGATCCTCTCCGGGTTGGAGACCCACTCGTACCTCCGCCGGAAGGGCTCGTAGGCCATCCTGGAGGACAGAAGTCGGGTATGTCGATGGGGAACCATTCGTACCTTCAACACAGGCTTCGCGCCCTACTTATCGCAATAGTACGCGTTAGAAAATGCGAAGAAAACGACATACAAAGCAAGCAAAGCAGCAAAGCGAAGCATACACAACCTTTCCCCTTAGCCCATACAGCCACAGCCGTCCCCCGTCCGCTGTTCCCGATCCACTCACCCGGGCGGCGCCTCCGGCTCGGAGGGGGTCAGGTCGCGCCGCGCCGCGCCCCGGCCGACAGAGGAGGCGGACGAGCCCCTGGAGCCGGCGCTGGACAGCGAGCGGCGCGCCGGCGAACTGTCTGAGGAGGCTGCCGACGCGCCGCGGCCGCCGGGAGCGCCCCTGCCGCGGCTCCAGCCGGCGCCGCGAGCAGACGGCCGGCCTCGGCCCGCCGCCGGCGGCGGCTGCTGCGGCTGCTGTCTCTCCTGGCGACCGTCCTGCGGCTGCTGCCGCTGCTGCTGGGCCTCCTTCGGCTGCGGCTGCTGTCTCTGCCTCTCCTGCTGTATCTCCTGGCTAACCTCCTGAGGCTGTGGCTGCTGCCCCTCCTGATGCCTCTCCTGGCGACTGTCCTGCGGCCGAGGCTGCTGCCGCTGTGACTGGTGGCTCTTTCCATGTCGGTGTCTCGAGGACTGGCCCTGCTGCTGCTGCTGCTGCTGCTGCTGCTGCTGCTGCTGCTGCTGCTGCTGCTGCTGCTGCTGCTGTTCTTGCTGTTGGTACCTCTGCTTCGTTGGGGATCCCGCCTGCGCAGGGGATTCGCTCTGCTGTTGCTGGTTCTTCTGCTTTTGAGGAGATCTCGTCTGGGCAGAGGGCTCACTCTGCTGTTGTTGGTTCTTCTGCTTTTGAGGAGACTTCGCCTGCGCAGACTCTTTACTCTGCTGTTGCTTGTCCTTCTGCTTTTGGGGAGACATCGGTTCTGCAGGCGTCTGCCGACCTCCACCTGACGTTTGTTTGCTGGGCACGTCTGCTGCATGAGACGGTGACTTGCCAGATGACCTCCTGCAGGTTACGAATAGATACAGTACTGTTAAAAAATACCACAAACATTGCCTACATCCACTCAGATCTTTGCATTTTCGATTCCGCTCGCTCAATACAGCAATCGGTACAGAAGAGCAGAAACAAATTGTTTGAATTTTTTGGCTGCTGTAGGGCCTGGTGCTGAATAAATGACTATTGAACCAATTAACATAAGTCCTCTTTATACATAGTTGCAAGATTGTCATGCTATAAGCTATGTTTATCAATATGATTGCACTCAATTGGTGTCTGTGTTAGTGCTAGTTGTTAGAAACTCACTCTGGGTCAGTTTTACGGGCAGAATCTCCGACAGAAACACGCAGCGACCATTCCTCATCTGGAAAAAGTGGTGTAGTTTAGCGTAGGATCGCAGAATGCATGACGTTCACTGTAACATACATTTTGCGGTCTTGATACTAAAATTAAACAAGTTACATGTTTCTAAATCAACAAAAGGGATACCAGTAGCTATTACAGTCAAGCACATCTGATCAGTGATCACCCATCACGTCTTATTTGACTTATTTGGCGACAGACGTCATAGGAGCCGGCGGTACTAACCGGGTGACTGGGAGCCGTGGCTGGCCGCGTCGTCCGAGTCCCGGCCTGCACGAAAGGGGGCACGCGGTGGTGTCGTCATACAGAAACATTGTGAAACGTCATACCACCTCATTCTAACATTTTTGCTGTTTTGAAGTAGGTAAGGTTATCGGGGCAAAATATAACCGATTCGTAATCGCCTCTCTGAAACCAGCATGAGCACAGTCATCTAGCATCCAAAACCCCATTATTGATCCATCATGTTCTGACCTGCAGAGCTTGCCGCGGCAGTAGCCGATTTTCCTCCCTTTTTGTTCTTCTTCCGGTTCTTTTTCTTCCCGCCTCCGGCGCCCTTCTGTCCTCCTCCGGCGCCCTTTTGTCCCCCTCCCTCTGCCAGGAGGAGCTCCTCGAAGGCCTGCTGCGCGCGCTGCTCGGCCTCCCTTCTCTCGGCGTCCGTCTGCCGCTCCTGCTGCTGCGCCTGGCCGGGCCGCTTCTTGGTCTTACCGGCGGCGGCCATAGCGATGGCGCGGCACTTCTCCAGCCGAGCCACCTGGAACATCTGCCGCCACAGACAATCTTAGCGATGACAGATTACAGTAAAAGCACCAACGTAAGTGCAATAGAAATTCAGCGACCAAAAATAACAACACTGGGAATAAAGCAGCTGACACGTAATTATGGACTGGGCTTTCCATTAGGATAAATAATCTGTCTGAATACCGTTTACTTTTTCTAGTTACCAGCTCCTAGTTTAGCGGTAAAAATGATGCTTAGTAATCTTCATCATAACAAGACTAATGAAACTTTATTGCGGGATCAAAAGCGTTATCACAGACTTATTCCAAACACTCACTCGCGAACGCGATCTTACCTTCGAGGGATCGTCCTTGCACTTGTCGATGCAGGTCTTCAGGTCGGCGCCGGCGTCCTTCGGGAGGCGCGCGCCCCTCTTCAGGAGGAACTCTGTCATCTCGACCTGAGCATTTCTGTACGCCTGTTTCAGGACGGACACCTGTGGGCGCACAGTTATGTCTGTCAGCGTCTCCCGAAACAGATACACATTATTTTGGTAGCACTCAATAACAATTGTAGCGCTCTCATCATAGTTAATTCGAGTGATTTATGTAACAAACTTCGCACCACCACCGTCGCCACTGCTGCGGTATTATCACCCCACGCTGTAACAGCGCTACCACGCGCTGCTGCGCCGGTCTCGTCCCGGCGCCACCACTCACGTCTGCGTTGTCCTGCGAGTGCACGCTGGCGCCCTTCTCCAGCAGTAGTGTGGCCAGGTCGACGAAGCCGCCCTCGGCGGCCATCCAGAGCGGCGTGCGGCCGCTCTTGTTCTTCACGTCCACCCGAGCGCCGCTGGCGACAGGCGGGCAGCTTAGACCGGCGGAAACTGAGGACCTACATCGCCCCTGACACACACACACAAACACCGAGCGCCGCTGGCGACAGGCGGGCAGGCTAGACACGGGGAAAACTGAGGACCTATCGCCCCCTCTCTCTCTCACACACACACACACACACCGAGCGCCGCTGGCGACAGATGGGGCAGGTTAGACCGGCGGAAACTGAGGACCTTCATCCCCCCCCCCCCACACACACACACAAACACATCGGTAACACGCATTGCCTCGTATACGAACTGAGGACCTGCACCGTGGCTTTACCCCCGTATCTTTTGATGCCCCCACGGAGCAGCGCTCGGTCTCACCGTCTGATGAGCATCTCGGCGAACTGGAGCATGCCGGCGGCGGCGGCCGCGTGCAGCGCCGTGTCGTGGTGCACCAGAGACTCCGTGTTGGCGTTGGCGCCGGCGTCCAGCAGCAGCTGGCCCAGCTCCGTGTGGCCCAGCATCGCCGCCTCCATCAGCGGCGTCACCCCTTGCTGCGGCGCCGGCGGACGGGACACGAGTCAGGACAGCGGACGGCTTAAAGCCTGGCTACGCTATGCGTTTTCTGTGTGCGTTTTTTGCGTGTTTGGGGTTTTGCGTAATATCGTTGTAAAAAAGGTTACCTATTAATTAAGCTTTTTTAATATTTATATAAAAATTAATAAAACGTTTATGTTAATTAAAAGCTTATATGAAAAACAACAAAAACGTAATGTCGTTTCTTTCTAGAACGATATTCCGCAAATCACGCAAACTCGCAAACAACGCACGCAGAAAACTCATAGTGTAGCCAGGCCTTTAGTGTGGGGT